ATGTGCCGTGGGATGGGGTCGTATTTTCACGACTGAATTGACTCTGATGGGGTTGCTATAGAGGTACAAGGAATGGGGACACAGAATTTCGGGATTGTGGAGGTAAGAGAATTGTGAAAGTTGGGATTGCTTAGGACGGGGTCTATAATTGTTCTATAACTGTTCTCTAACTAGGCTATAATGGGGTAGGGGTTCTGAGCGGCCAGCGACCACTACCCAGCGAAATTGACCCATGTACACCCCTCCCGGATATTTTACCTGCGTATATTGACAGTTGACCATTTGAATAAAAGCTACTGACCAGAGCTTTCAGCTTGTCATGTTTACTAAGTTGTATCTTCATTATTTGTGACAGGAAGTGAAGTCAAAGAAGCCTTCAACGGCTCAAGAGCAAGACGCAATCAGTGTTCATTCGGCACAGCCCGTCATAGACAAAAGTATAGCCCTTCATGTATACGGCGTGGACGACCCGGGCCCACAGATCACTGAAGACCTTGTCGAAGTTTTGCAAAACAGAATTAATGATGCTATGGTCGAAGTGCTGTCAGTTCTTCTTGCTAGAAATCCAAACTGTAAACTGACGTATGCAGATGTTCGGGTAAGCTTTCGTAGGATAGAAAAGTTTAATATAAGAACGATAGATATAAAAGCAATGAGAGTGGTGCTGGTGATTGACACGGATTACAAACGATAAACATCAAAAGTTCAAGCCGATTGTTGTAAGGATACATTAACTGTGACTTGGTTTCTTCAAGAATTTGGAAACACATGAGATAGCCTCCTTAAATAGTTATCAACACTCTTGGTCACTTCGTATCCAAAAGCTGGGACAAGCTCCGGCGACATGAGCCTCTTGTCTCAAGTACACCTACACAATGTATCATTGTCATTAGTCTGTTTTTGGTATAACAAAACTAATGAAATAAACGGCGATGAAGCAAAACTCGTCAAAAAGGGTGCAACGTAGAGTTTATGTCATTTTGGGGCTTTTATCACTTTGAGTGTTATTATGCTTGTTGCAACGAACTGTGTTCAAAACATTTTGAGAAGGCTTCTCTAACTTTCCACATATTTCATTTGTATAGTTTATACAGCCTCAAAGTGAACCACCAAAAACAACTCTCACTCTTCTAATTCCAAAAATGGACGTCAATTTCCTCTGTCCTTTGGTTTTCTACTTGCGACAAAACCTAATGCAGCTCCTACATTCTCCAAGATACATGGACTCGGATCCCAGCCATCATTTCAAGGCCGTGAGCGGTAGTAAGTTGGACGCTACCGGTAGTGCCGGTGGCGAAAGCCGTAAATTGGAACCAGAGATCTACTTGTACAACAGACCGCATTCATCTGGAGGAAAAGGTTTGACATAACTATGCTGTAGACGTCTTAGTGTAACGTCCAACTGATGTCGAAAGTAATCCTTGACTTCAGGGGTTTTACGTAACTATGCCCCGTAAGTGATCACAAAGAATCTTGCGTCAGTCTCACAACCCACCAGGTGCAAAACTAAAAGCAGTTGCGTCAAATCACTTGTGTTTTCCCGCCCTTAAGAGAGTTAGTCATTCTGATTGGACCTTCTGATAACTTGGATTTTATTTCGTGTTAATTAATCCTTCAGCGCGGTCTCAAGTGTAAATTGTGTTTTAAATTTGTCCATATAGTTCTCTTTTCTGTGTTCCCATGATTAATTAATGTCAATCAAAACGCATTCCGGACGTAGGCGTCTATACGACATAATGCTCTTAAACCTCTCTATACCTTCCAGAAAATTCTCTCTTTTCAGACCATGTCCACACGTGTACGTTAATCTTCTTAAACGCATTGGTAGTTTTTGTCCACACGCAGGGGGACGCTTATACACTCAGGCGAGTGGTCGGTTGCAGAGATCGTTCACGTCGTTTACTAACATACCCATACGTAAACACGTAGCCATGGCTATAATCAGTAGCGAGGGTGACATAAGATAATTTAACTATCGTTATGCCATTTTACTCCGCTGACCATTTGCACGCCGTTTATTATATTTTCAGGCTTGGCTTGTATATCCGTGTCCGTTCTCAACTGGCGTGGTGGATATATTTACATTCCATGTGGAAAGTCAGTTTGTGTGTATGCTGGGGAGATCGACTATTTTGAATACTTGACTGAGGTGTCTTCGTGTCCAGATGAACTTCACTTAGGTAGTTATTTAGAGCAGTAGGTAATGGAGTGCCGTGGTTTTGCGTGACTTCTCTCAGCGAGTGGTCCAGAAAACTCGTGCCATCTTCTCAGATTCAAAACTAAAACGAATCAGGATTTGGACACTCGTGTTTTCCCGCCTTTCATGCAGTACACCTGTTTTTATTTGGAGTTCTAATTGGCTAAAGATGATGTAAACCTTCCCTCCGATTGGTTGTTGTATTTATTTTCACTTTTTTCTAACTCAACTGAAAACTGTTGTATCTCTTAGGATATGTAAACAGGGACTTGTTTGAGTTCGTTTTTTATTTATTAATTCATTTATATATTTGCGTCTTTTAATTGAGTGATGTCACAGTTTTAATAAAAAAGAGGAGGCCTCTTTCTTGTAGTATTTTGAGGTTATTAAAAAGTGATGTGATTAGGTTATCTTGTTTCTTTTCAGCCGATGATGATATCAAGGTGCAATTTGCAATCTGGGAGCGTGGCGATATCGGCCTTAATCAACTCGCTGGTCAGCTAAAGCTCACTTTAAGGCATGCTCTTTGTGACCTCTTAACGGAGTACTATCTCTTGGCGGCGCCCTTATCCAAAGTGCCAAAGTTGTACCAGATTTCGTCGAATACACGCGCTCGGTCTTCCTCGGAGCCACTCTCTCCCTCATCCATATTACCTAAGGCTCCCACTCATCTAGGGTCCCTCCCTGAGAGGCCTGCCACGCCTTCCAAGCGGCAACTCGATTTTGGCAGCCAGTCCAGCTTTCGAAACAAGAGGGCCTCAGTTTCAGGTCATCGCCGAAGCCCGTCTGCAGGGAGCACCCTGTCATCGGGTTCCACAGGGGCAACAAGAAAGTCCCCACAGAATCCGTTCCTCTCTCAACGGCAGAGTGTTTCTACTCCTAATGCTGTATCAAGGCAAAGCACAGAAGAGGATGAGGTTTTCCAGACGGACTCAACTTCACTTGGTGCAGACGTCACAGAAGTATCAGCCGAGGAAAACAAGGCAGATAGCCAGGGCGTTACCGAGTCAACTGATGAGTTAAATCCAAAAGGTAGGGTCTTATAATGCTTGAGGTCGATGGGAAGTGTTACTTTTGGGTTATCGCAGGCTTCTTGTGGTCTTTAGCCTATTCTGATCAGCCGCAGTGATTACTTTGGGGGTGTATGACAGACACCCTTCAGATAAACTATGTAGGTTCATTGTATAAAGTAGGCTAATTTTTTGTGCTTGCAGAGTTGACAGGGAGAGGCGAAGCAACATCTGAGGGCAAGGACAAACTAGGGTTGAAAAAGGCGTCGGAAAAACCAGACAACTCGTCTGACATGGAACCAACATTTGAAAGTTTCACCGCGGCTGAAATCCAGGAGTCTCAAAAATTTACTTCGCAACCCGGTACCCCAGTCACAGAAAATGCGGCGTTCCTCTCAAAGAAGGAGGAACAGCTCTCTGAGAAACTAAACAAACCCTCAAGCTTATCCTCTGCGAGTTCCCTCAGCGGCTCCAAGAGCTTTACCTTCAGCGGAGTGGATTCATCAAGCGTCGGAGGACAATCTAGTGATGTCCAAGGCACCTGGCAGGATGCTGAGGCCGTGAGGAGGAAAGAAAGAGAAAAGAAGAAAAGGCGTATTCAGTTTGAGAATGGAGAACGTGGTGAACTTCATCCAAGGTTGTTAAGTCGTCTCTGATTTCTTTTCTAATTTAATCCCGTTCATTTTAAGATGTCCTGATTAATTCTCGCTTCCTGTTGCCATATGCCTTTTGGAGATTAATTAAGAGAAATTGGTGGTATATTAAGATAATCCCTAAGGCCAGGTTGTTCAAAACACGATTAACCTAATCCGTGGTTGGTGAAAATTTTTAATTTTCTTAAAAAACTCTGGAAAGGCCTTTTTCTTTTGAATTTTTTTTTCAGTTAGTTTCGAGTCATATTGAGAGAAGATCCAACGAAGCCCTGGCTCTAACGCACTCTTCTAAACGAGAAATTAAAGCCAAGGTTAACTTTTAATCCCAGAAAAACGTTAACGCCCTAACAACTCAGCCCCGTTTTTCATTACCTGTTTACACGTTATTGTAATACAGTGTGTGGATGGGTTTTATGTTTTTCACTTCCAAGAAGGCCTTAGTGCTTATATTGATTCTGAGTCGTCATCATCGTAGAGTGAGGGTTCATTATTGCCGGGTTTATAAACCTCATTTCGTAATAATAACGCTGGAAATCAACGAATGATCTCGTGATTCATGCGTGCGTATAGTTTCGCGGTGCGCAGTATAGCGTGATTCAATTTTCGGTAAACGTGATATAGCTTTTTGTTACCGTGACCCCTAATCTAACATCTATGCGTTATGTTTCAGTGGGCCAACTTTTGCCATTTAAATAGTAATGTAACATCTTAATATTTGATAATTTGCCATGTTATCTTTTTAGTCTTCAGGGTTTGTGTCAAGACATGTTCTCTTTCTTTCGAGGACTTGCAGTCCCATCGGTTTATTGTATTGAAGGAAAATTGCTCAACAACTTTGCTTCAGACGCCTTTTTAGCTGAATTGTGCCACTCAATCTCGTCTGTGTGTCCTGATATGAAACCTAAAGTCTACCGTGAAGCTCCGGTGTAAGTATGAACTTTTTTATACTCATGTTCAATATTCATTCAACTATCCACACTATTTACAGTAAACACAGCTATCTATATTAGCTGCAGTTGATACAGCCATCTAAACTGTCTGTGGTAGATACAACTAGATACACCTATATACACACGCCGCAGTAGATACCGTTTTAGAGTAAATACAGCTGTTAATGCTATCTACAGAACATTCATCTATTTAAACTGTCATCAACAGCTGAATGAAGGGGAAATTTTTCTAAAGAAACTGTAGTGCTGCGTCTGAGAGGGGTATTTCAAGATAATTTGGTTTTATCAACTGAGTTGATAAGGTAGATTGGCCAGCGTAAAGAGTTTCTTAAAGCTGACATTTCGAGCGTTAGCCCTTCGCCAATCAGAGCGAAACATGGGACTAATGCTTAAAACGTCAGCTTTAAATTCTCCTTATGTCACAGGCATCCCAAGCTTACGTCTTGAGGAAATACGAAAGCGAAAGCGTCGCCCGTTGTTTAACGCGATGTTTAGTTATTGCTATCTTGTGGAAATATCACATTGATTCCATTGTAACAAAAATTAGTAAGACTATCGGGTTAATTGCAAAGTTACGCCATTTTGTACCTCGACTTGTACTACTGAACATCTATAAGTCATTAGAATATCCTTATTTAACTTATGATCTAGCTGCCTGGGGTCAGGCATGCAAGACTTATCTTAACAAAATACTAATTCTTCAGAAAAGAGTGCTTCGTTTATTATAGTTTGCCGAATGGCATGACCATGCAATTCTCTTTTTTTCCAAGCTAACTTGCTTCCAATATCTTTTCTTTACGACGAGTCCGTATCAACCTTAATGCACGACATCGATAATGGTAAAGCCCCAGCAAACAAGTTAGATTTATTTCAGTAAGCGTCTTATATCCACTCATACAATACACGATCTTATACGTCTGGCAAGTTTTATGTTAAATATTCTAGACTTGAAATACAAAATAATTCTTTTTCTCGGCTCGGTGTTAAACTGTGGAATGGGATACCAAGCTACATAACCAATCTCCCAAAGAAAGCTTTCAAAAAAGATCTCCCCAAATTGTTACTTGATATATTAGTAAAGGAGGATAAGTATATTGAAATCCCCATGATTATAAAAAAAGTAGGATCATAGAAGCGCGTGCTGAGGGTCCCATTTTACGTCTGTTTTCCTTTTACAACTCCTTGTCTTTATACATTGTCCGTCCGTAAGTGCTGTGTTAATTTGATCTCCCAACTTCTGTGTTTTATTTATCTCTAGTTGCAATCTGCAAGGTTTTTTTTCTATTAACATACGTTTGCCTTATTTATAATTATTCTTCCATAACTTGTTATTTTAATCACGTTCTTGTTTTGCCCCGCCGCGACTAGCTTCTTAGCTATTTTCGGGGCAAACCATTTTAATCATGTATTTTTGTAATAATAATTTTCAACTATGTTTGTCTGTAATCAGAATAAGAATAAAGTTTATTTGTTTGTTTTTTTGTAAAGGAACCGTCGAGAATTTGAATGCGTTATAAGGAATAGTATGGGAAACGAAATATGGTCCATTTACAACACTAAATATTCTGAAATATGAACAGTTTACACTTAAGATTGACGTGACGCTTTCAGGTAATAATCTTCCGTTTTTCCTCGAGACGTGAGCTTGGGACGCCAGTGCTTACGTTGGCCAATTTACAGCTGTCATATCCAAATTATCCTGTTAATAATAGAGACAGCTATTTAACTGTCTTCCTTGGGTATGGCTAGTGTTGTATCCATTGTGCACAGTGTGGTTTGATGTGCCTAAATTAGAGAGAGTGGATAGCTGTATCGGCTGTGGACAGTGTAGATAGCCAGTCGTTGTTGTGGAATGTCTTTACTGGAGACAATCTGAGTATGGTGTTCATGAGTTTGTAGCAGTTCTTGAATGAAGGATCTATCAAATCCAGAGGAAGTAAAATTAATGAGGCGTTTATCTCAATTGAATTGAAGTAGCCTTGTCTTCGATTATCAGTGAGTCCATAGTAATTATTGTTAGTTATTTTTTGTTTTATGAATGAAATGGTTTCGTTGGCCAATAGGAATTCTGCTGATGGAAACGAAGGCGATTTTAGTCAAGAATTTCACTGCCTGCACTATTACCCAGCGAGACAACCTTTGAAAGTGAGTTATTTATGGAGTTCTGAAATTGTTATACAATATCTAAAGTAAGAGTAGACATCTAGCCCCTTCAGTGTAGTAAACGCTGGTATCAACGGGGGTCCTGTTACCCACCCATCCCTTACC